TTAAAAGAGCATTCATTTGATAACATAGACGTGCAGTTTAAAAAGAACATCATTATTTTTACTGACCTCTTTGGCCTCTAGTTTAGTGAACATATCACACTGTGTAGTAGAATCAGTTTTCTGACACACTGCATTATGAATGGCATGGGCTATTGCATAGACAGCCTTGTACACCATATTAGTGATTCGAAGTTCAGATGTGTCAGTGTATGAGCTCTGGAGCATCTTTATATCTTCAGTTCCATCACACACACTCCTGTCTGTGGCTTCACCTAAAAACACAGAGACAGAGGGAGGTGTTTTTAGCCATGATAATTACATTCATTCTTATGTTTGCATTGTGTTATTCAACCTACCAAACAAGCATTGCAGGATTTACATCACATTTCAAATCACTGTTTTGCGGACATGTTTATCTGTTTTTTACGTTATTAGTTTATTTTAGCAGCTCATATTTACACAAATCAGTCATCAGACAAATACTTATTGTACAAGGCAAAATATGTATTCCTTGTATTTAACACTGACTTGCCCTGTTATAATGATGCATGATGGACAGTAGAACCATTTGTACAGGATCATCAGAAACCCTTATCACACTAGAAATACACTTTCTGCCCTCTGCTGTCTGGTAGACGGTAACACACTAACAGGCCTATACAGCTTGATTCAACACGTAATAAAACTGCTGAACTCTTGAAGTCAGGACTTTGATACTGTCCCGCTACATTTAAATAATTGTACTTTAATTCACCTATATTATGTATGTACACATACCGTATGTAAGTCGCTTTAGATAAAAGCGTCTAACAAGTAACATATAATGTAATACCACGTATATATTACTTCTCATAAAGCATACATTTACTACATTCCTTTTTAAAGTTCATCTTTATTTTACAATGACTGTAACCTGTCAACAAATATATTCCACAATTTATATATATATTTTTTTTACATATATTTTAACTCTGCACTATATGTTTTGGATAACCATATTCTAGAGCGTGATTTTTTTTCAGCATTTATTTTATGACCATTTTTGAAGGGAGACTTTCCCTAAATTGTTGTGCATTGAGGAATAAATAGCTTCCATCTAAACAAATAAACAGTCTAGAATCACTGTATAATAGCTTAAGTAGAATAATGTACATGTATGTTATTTACAATATATTAGACAGCATTGTTAATAAACATGACCTGAACATCACAATGTAAGATCATTCACGAGATGCACCTTATGTCCGCCTCATGTATTTCATTAAAAATATTAGATTTCCCTTTCAGTCAAAATCTGGGGTTTGGTCTTTAACAGGCTGATAAATTCAGGGAGCTTCACTTTGACAGAAAATAAAAAAACAACACAATCAAGACACTACCGTGAGTATCATGTATGTTTAAAATTGGCACAACTTTCTCACTTTTTACCAGCCTGCAGTTGAATGCTTCCTCCCAGAACATGGTAAGCAATGGGGAGTCAGCCACTTTAGAGGGAGAGAGATCCAGCAGGAAGTCCCTCAGACCTGGGATGACAGATTTTTCAATACCAAATCCTATGGCTCCAGCAAGGAAGCTGAACCTCAGCATGTCTCGGTCGGTTACCCAGGCCTCACTACCTATCCACTGGCGAGGTGGAGAAGGCTTGCGTGACAGCTCCTCCAGCAAAATCTTCATATCTCCAGTGGAAATAAATGCCACAACAACCTTAGCCGTTGACCTGGAGGGACGTTCAATGACATATACAAATAATAGTTATAATATAAGACTAATATTGTCTTTTATAACAATATTGTCATAAGTATGAAGAAAAACAAAACATAAGAGATGAGCAACAGATATATTGGCACATTTCCTGTTGTAATAAAAACATGTTCCATCACTTTAAGAACTTGTTTTGGTTTTTCTGTGCAGAAGGTCAGTGTCAGCACAGGGAACTAAAGGAGAATCAGTGATATAGAAACCTGCGGATAACATCAGCTACTCTCTGGATCCGGCTACGTGGATGGGTCCGATAGAAAGACTCGGAGTATTCCACACAGATCCCCTCTTTACGTGCTGCATGCAGGAAAGACGCCATGCCATTGTTGCCATAGTCAGAATCCGACCGGACAGCACCTATCCAAGTCCAGCCAAAGTGTT